ATAAATATAAATGTAAAAGTCCTCAACAAAATACTAGCAAACTGAACTAAACAGCACATCAAAAGGGGATCATTCATCATTATCAAATGATGTTTATCCCAGGGATACAAGGATGGTTCAATATACACAAACCAATATAAGTAACATATCACATTAACAGAATAAAGGACAAAAACCATATGATCATCTCGATAGATAAAGAAAACACATTTGACAAAATTGAATGTCCTTTCATGGTAAAAACACTCAACAAATTAGGTCTAGAAGGAATGTACCTCAATACAATGAAGGTCATATTTGACAAGCTCACAGCCAACGTCATACTGAATGGTGAAAACTTTAAGGCTTTTTCTCTAAGATCAGGAACAAGGGAAGAATAGGCCACTCCCACTTCTAATCAATAGAGAACTGGAAACCCTAGTCAGAAATCCCAGTCAGAGCAACAGGTAAAAGAAAGAAAGAAAGAAAAGACATCCAAATGAAAAGGAAAAACTTAAATTGTCTGTGTTTGTAGAGGACATGATCTTGTATGTATAGGAAACTCCTAAAGATTCCATCCAAATGCTGTTAAAACTGATAAATGAATTCAGTAAAATTACAGGATATAAAAATCAACATACAAAAATCAGTAACATTTCTATACACTAACCATGAACTATGTGAAAACGAAATTTTAAAAATCTCATTCAAATAGCTACAGAAAATAAAAAAATACTTAGGAATCAATGTAACAAAGTGAAAGATCTGAACACTGAAAACTACAAAATACCCATGAAAGAAACTGAACAAGACACAAATAAATGGAACAATGAAAGCTAGATTAAAGGAAATAAAATTATTAAAATGTTCATACTACTCAAAGCAACCTACATATTCAATGCAATCCCTACCAAAATTCCAACGACATTTTTATATTAATAGAAAAAATAATCTTAAAATTCATATGGAATCACAGATCTGAATAGCCAAAGCATTTTTGAACAAAACAGAAAAACAAAGCCGTAGACACCACAGCATCAGTAGGACTGTAACGCCCAAGATGTAGAGTAATCCCAGGATTGGGAAATGTTTCCAATACAAATGTAGGTCAACTTTAACTTGCCTCTGGCAGATGGGAGCCACAGTTGGAGCTCAAAGTGACCAGCGCAATTCTATCACATGTTGCTCGCTTTCTAGCTCGGCAGAATCAGTATTTGGTGCATTTTGAGTAGGGGTTATGAGTTGTGTTTCTCATTTGTGTTTTGTGTGGGTATCAAGGGTAGCATGGGGGTGGTACAGGAGCTTGGTTCCCAGAGGTGATGTCTAGACCATTAGTATCTGCCTCACCTCCGAAGATATGAATATGTTACAAATGCAGAATCTTGAGAATCATCTCAACCCCACCAAATTAGAATCTGCAAAGAAAATCTCCATACCAACTTAAAGTTGGCAAAGCTTTAAGTTTCTTAAAACTGTTAAGTTTAAAGAGAGAGATGATAGTGCAGTGGGCAGAGTAGGGTCAGTCCCTAATTTCTACTTGAAATATCCTTGCCCCAGATTCCCCATTAATTTAGAAATACCATTTCATCCCTTATGAGTAAAAGCTACAGCATCTTTTTTTTACCTTGAACTCACTTGATCAGTAGCCTTAATTATTTAAACCATAGTCCAGACTTAGGAATAAAAAAAAAAAAAAAAAAAAAAAAAAAAACACTCCAGGCATAGATGCCTTAACAGCTACATATCACAGATTGTATTATACACATTAGCAAGATCTCATACCCTTATAATTCCTGTAAGCTTAGTGCTGTGGATCCCTGACCACAAACGATTGGAAGCAGCCAAGCAAGGCAAAGGGAGAGTAGTAAAAACGCAGCTGGGATGAAGTTTACAAGGAGAACTGATGGTAGAAAGAATAGCTTTGACATGTTCATAGTTATTTAGATTTATAAATCTGTGCACACATCAAAAACAGTCACTCAGATCTTAGAGAAATTGTACTCAATTCTGGCTATATATTAGAATCACCTACTTTTCTCAAGCCTCAGTCTCAGAGCTTCTGATCTAATTGGTTTGGAGCGGGTGCAGGTATTGTATTATAGCTTCCCAGGTGATTCTTAGTGGCTTAGGATCAGTCATCATAGGGCCCAGAGGCCTAAACACCTGAGTAGCCTCTAAGTAGGCTCTTTCCAGCTTGCTACAATCATTGACAATCAAGGATCCCAGGTTGATTAGGATGACCTTGGTTACCAGGATTTTTTTTTAAAGGGGAAAATACTCTATATATTAGAGGTGATTTTGACAGAAAATAAGACAGCCTAGAACTAAATGATACATAAACACCAATGTAAGTCCTGTGTCATAGTTGGAGAAATCTAGAAGGCACTGGTGGGAAGAATCAGACACCCCCCTATCTCTCCCTCCTGACCCTCACCCCATAGCCCAAAATGTACCATGCCCATGAATCACCTGGGGGTCTCGTTCCAATACAGAGTCTAACTCAGTAGGTCTCAGGGGGAGGCTCCAGATTCTGCCATTCTGATGAGCTCCAGATGATACTACTGTAGCTGGTTCAGGGACCACACTGGGAGTCAAGGTCATCCTGATGGTCTTGATTACCCCTCAACCCCTTCTTTGGAATCCAAACAAGAAGAATGGCTTCCAAGAATTCCACTGGGGTCCTTGATCCAGAGCCACCGTACCCGAAACTATAGGCTTTCCTGAACTAACATCACAGCCTTTGTTCATCTCTTTTCTTAACTGTTCCCTCCTCCCACTAGGCAATGTTATGGGAGGACTGGGGACTACTGAGTTAGAAACGGGCTTACAGCACATGTAGTTCGCCCCATTCCTTACAAAAGTATGGCACTGAGGCCAAGTTGGCGAAGGATTTGCCAAGTTCACAGGTGATCATGGCAAAGGCAAAACTAGATCTAAGTCAGGACATGAACGCATCCGTTAAGGATTCTGTCAAAATGATTGCTTCCTGTAGCTTTCTGTGTGAAACGTCCATTTGCTTATCCTCAGGGAAATAACAGACTATTAAGACTCAGAAAGGAAACAATTTGAAAGCTAGGCTGGTGGCCTTTATAGCCCTTCGACAGGGCAGATAACATGCCACAGAAGCCGAGAGACAGCTCTGAGACTATGCAGTAGCGACTGCTTCCCCTTTTGCGGAATGTGCACCAAAAAAAAGCTTAAGGGCTCTATAAGTTGCCCAGTGAACTCCATAGTCATTTTATTTCATTTTCGTTTCTTGGAACCCTTTCTCAAATAATTTTTAAAATCCCACACAATAATGATATATATTCTTGCTCAATATTAAGAGGCCCTCATGCAAAATTGAATAGTTTTTACAAAAGAAGGAAACAGAAATTCTATTCCCAGAACATTCTGCTTTCCCGGACACGAGGATCTGATTCTTGCTCCATTGTTTGTAGCCTTCTAGGTCCTAGAGCCACTGATGGGGCTGGGTCAGTGGCCACATTGGCTCCTGGAGATCCCTTCCCTGGCCACAAAAGTCCATCTCAGCAGCACTATTTAAACTGGACTTGTTATTTCTTACCTCAAAGCTCTGGCCTGGGATGAGACCTCCCCAACAGAGCTTGTTAGCGACGTTTTCATCTTGTTCTGTGGCTATCTGGGTCTGAAGTCAAGAGCCATTCACAGGAAAATCAGCCTGAAACCTGTAAGTTTGCATATTAAATATGAACACCACAAAGGGCTACAGTGGAAAAAAGGTTTGCTGGGCTCAGGGACCCTCACTCCACCCCCAACTTCCCTCTGCTTTTCTCTTCTATTTTGTGTTCCTGGTAAATCCCCTTATATCTCGACTACCTTAGGCCACCTGAGCCCCTTCTTGGGAATTAGGTTGTCTGGACAGGCAAAGAGGCATATACCCAGCTGTCAGGTGAATCAGGTGTCCTCATCAGATCTCTTAATATCCACTTTTGTGACATTTCAAAGAATCACAAATTATTTTATTAATGCCTAGCCAGAGAGAGGGGAAAGAGCTAGAAGGTGAGGCGTGGAACTCCATCCCGTGGTGATGTTTGAACCAGGCTGGAGCTGGCTTCACATGTTTCTCATTGTGCTGACTTTCTTAATTGCCTCAGTGGGCATGTGTTACAGCAAAATAAAGTGAAATTGCTTTCCTTATTGCTTCTAATTTACAGAGATGGTTTTGATCATATAAACCAGGAACTTTTCAAATCCACTGATCTTAGGGTGGAAGGAGGGGTTTCTTTTTAAGTATTCATTTTGAACCATGCTTTCACTAGTAAATTCAAAGCTCAAAGGGAAATACCCATGTTTCTCCGCCACATTTTGTAATACCTATTAGATGTCCATAGCATCACCGAGCCATGGAAAACGCACGCTTTGTGTATGGAAGACGAAGGGGGAGCGTCAAGAGTTGCACTTTGCCAAGAAATGTACTCTGACGCTCCAAGGCCCAGGCTGGGAGCGATCCACCGAAGCTTGGAAAGCCCAGGCCTAGCTCAGGCCCGCGCGGGTCTCTTCTGCTCCCAGAAAATGTGGAAGGGGTCCCAGCTCTGGGCATCCTGGTGTCGACTGTGAGTTCCCAGCGGAGGCCCAGAGTCCGGGTCCGGCAGCGGAGGGGAGCGGCGGGGCCCCCCAGAAGAAGAAAGGGCCACCGTCACGCCAGGTGCCTCTCCAGCAGCGGAGGACGGCGGTCGGGGTCGCGGCGGGCCTGCTGGGGCCAGGTCTGCGTTCCCAGGCGCTGCCACCGTTCCAGGGAGCAAGTCAGGCCGGGACGCAGCGCCTGCGTGGGACCCCCACTTCCCACCACGACCCCCACGAGCCCCGCCCCATCCTGCCTGACGCCCGGCGCCAGGGTCGTGGTCCCGCCCCAGAGCCCCGCCCCCAGGCCGTCCTCCCGCCCCGCCGCTGGGTGGCGACCGCAAACTGCCTTGCTATAAAGCGTGGCCCCAGCATCCCGGGGACCCGCGAGCGACCTGCAGAGGCTCTGGCTCTTGCTTCTCGGAGGGTCCGAGGGAGCCATGGTCGAGGAGCAGTTACGCAGGGACTCACTCACCGACCACCCGGACCGCCTGTGGATCTGGCAGAAGTTCGTGTATTTGGATGAGCACCGGCGCACCTGGCTGCCCTTAGTCATGGAGGTACAGCCCACTTTGGAGCGGGTGGTGGGGCGGCAGGGGCAGCCCCGGGAGCTTGGGAGGCCCCAGGACGGGCGAGGCCTAGAGGGGCACCCACTGTGGGGCGGGGAGGCTCCCCACAGATGAAGCCACTTTGAACCGGGCTCTGGAGGATGGACAGGGGTTCACCAGGCCGGGAAGAAGGGTGGGAAAACCACTAAGGAATGTCGACCAAAGGATGGGACCCCGTGCCTGTGAGTGTGACTGTAATGGTGACTAAAGCAGGACGTTTCTGGGCTCGGGGTCCTAATCCTTAAAATGGGTATCTCTAAAGTAAGTGACTCATTCATATGGCCAAACATCGGAATCATCTTAGGTGGGTCCCAGAAATCTGTATTTTAAAAAGAACCCTCAACGGCTTAGGGTCATGGCAACCATTAACAGCCCTGGAGTGTGAGGTATTTCCTATTTCCTCTGCGCTTTATTAAGAAGAACAAATTTAACGAGGAATACCGTAGTATACGCGCCGGTATTGAATCCGTATCGGCTTTGTTTCCTATGTGATACCTTAAGATGTGTCTTTAGTTCATATTAAGTTTTTATGAAAGAAATATAACTCTTTTACAAGTATTTGGATTTACTCAATGAAAGAGTCAAAAAATATTCAAACTCTTTCCAAACATACACTGAAGAAAGTATACAGACTTAAAAATATATTAGAACATGTATGTAACACAGTAGCAAACAAGAGTTACTGAGTGTTGACTGTGTCTCTACAGATGGGAAACTGAAGCACAAAAATGTACACTTGCCCAAGGTGGGACTGCTAGTAGGTCATGGGGCTGGAATTCTAGGCTCTTAAACCCCCAAAACGTGCACTTCTATTGGCATTCAATTTTTTTTTTTTTTTTTTTTTTTTTTTGAGACGGAGTTTCGCTCTTGTTACCCAGGCTGGAGTGCAGTGGCGCGATCTCGGCTCACCAGCAACCTCCGCCTCCTGGGTTCAGGCAATTCTCCTGCCTCAGCCTCCTGAGTAGCTGGGATTACAGGCACACGCCACCATGCCCAGCTAATTTTTTTTTTTTTTTTTTTTTTTTTTTTGTATTTTTAGTAGAGACGGGGTTTCACTATGTTGACCAGGATGGTCTCGATCTCTTGACTTCGTGATCCACCCGCCTCGGCCTCCCAAAGTGCTGGATTACAGGCGTGAGCCACTGCGCCCAGCCTAAATTTTTTAAACATACATTTTTCTTTAAAAACCATGTCAAATGCTTACTTAAGTCAAAATTTGAAAAAATAATTTGAAGATTCAGTGAATTTCTTTTTTAAAATGTCTGGTTGAGAAATCTCTTCTTCAACGTGACACCAAAATCATGAACTAGACAGTTTTTCACATAATCGTGATAAATGCCACACAAAAAGTAACCCACTAGCAAACTGTGGGGCAGGGTTTGCCTCACACACTTGAAAGAGCTGGTATTCTTTTTCTCCTTTTTTCTTTCGTCTTTTTTATTTATTTATTTATTTTTTTTTTTTGGTAGAGACAGGATCTTGCTCTGTCACCCAGGCTAGTCTCAAACTCCTGGCCTCAAGCGATCCTCCTGCCTCAGCCTTCCAAAGCACTGGGATTACAAGTGTGAGTCACTGCAACTCGGCAGAAAAAAGTGTGCCTTTCATGGCCCTTTCTAGGTGGCTAGACACGTGTGCATGCTGGTGGTTCTGGCCCAGCCAGAGTCCCTGTGAGGATCATGCATGGCCTAAGGAAGTGAACTTCAGGGGACAGCGATGACCAGCATTTCACACTTGGACCCCTCCCCAGCTGGGTGGGTGGCTGGCAGGAAGGACTCCGGTTTTCTGTGCCTGGAGGAGCCCGGGCAAGCGAAGCCTGAAGGTATGCCCTGTCCTTTTCTTCTCTTCAGAAGGAGGATAAATTACGGGTGCTCTTTCGTCAGGAAGTCACCATCCTGGGGAAGCCTATGACCCCCACCCAGATAGGCCCAAGCCCGCTGCCTCTCATGTGGCAGCTCTACCCTAATAGACGATACCGATCCTCAGACTCCAGCTTCTGGCGCATAGTGTACCACGTCAGGGTAAGTGTGTTTCTCCCAGGGATCTATCGGGCGATCTTGGGTTTCCCCTCCTCAGTGCCTGGCCTCAGTGGTTTATCTTCCCTCCATCCCAGTGCCAAAAGCATTAAAAAATGGGGGAAATGTACAACTGTGGATTTCTAAAGGATTTTAACAGAGAGAAGATGGATCCTCTGAGGTCTCTAACAGAACCCTGCCGATACTCCCCACCAGCCCCCAGCCTGGCTGCAGGAAGCCCCCTTTGGTGGGCAGTCACAGGCTGAAGGCTACAGGGAGGAGGGCAGTCTCCAAGAACCCCAGAAATCCTCACACTCGGGTTCCCACCTGTTATTCCCAGCTAGGGAAGGCACAGGAGTGAGGAGTGGAGGGGGAGAAGGGCTCTGCTCATCAGTGCCCTCTCTCTCTCTGCCTCTCAGATTGAAGGCCTGGAGAACCTGTTTCTCGAGCAGCTGCCAGATGACTGAGTGTGGCATGGTGAGTTCCACTGGGGCCTGACCCCTCTTAGTCCACGGTGGCTGTATCAGAAGGAAAGACCACCCCTTCTCCGCAAGGGCAGTGCTAACCCCTCCCCAACTGTTGCCTTCTGAGGGTCCCGGGATGGGAGAGGCTTCCTAGAGGCACTCATGTCTCTCCTATACCACTTTGGGACCCAGGGGCTTCACAGATGCATACGGCCCCTTTAGCACAGCTGCACGCATCTGTACAGTGCTTCACAAGTTTTGGCCAGCGCTTTCATTGTCAGTTGCTTTCTTACATCAACCGAGCCAGATATTAGATGGTGTTACTGCATTTTGAGGCAGTGGTCTTCTGACCATAAGCCCTCTGTCCTGTTCAGAATTTGCCTTGGCTCAGACAGAAAGCCTCTGGGCCATCACTGACCACCAGGCTTCCCACTCAGACTTGCTCCTGCGGCACTGCCCCTCACCCCTGCCTGGTCCTTTCCTTCAGCCTTGACTCTGTCTTCTCTTGTCCTTTCCCAGGTCTTGCAGCACCCGTCTCCTTTCACCCCAGGGCCTGCACCTGGCCAGTCCATAGTGGGGATATTCGTGTTTCTATTCACCTTCGTTTCCCTATGCCGGTGTCTTCTCCTCCGCCATGCTGGGGTCTGGGAAGGAACAGACAGAGGATGAGCTCTACCCAGGGCCTGCTGGACCTGCCTGCGGCTCACCCTGCTCCCATCAGCACTACCACTCCTGCCAGGGAGGACTCCAGTTGGTAGAGCTTCCTTCAGGTGCCCAGTATACCTGTGCCTTGGCTTTTCTCAGCCGGCCGATGGCCTTTGGCCTCTGTCTGTCCCTTCTGTCCCTCACGGCACTAGTGCTTCATGTCGTACAACCACTCAGCTCCCTAACTTCTGAGAACACAGCCGATTCACCTGAGCAGGGCCTCTGAGACTCTGGGCCAGTGGTCTCACGTTGGGCTGCCCCGGCACACAAACACATCTGCAAACCGTGCCTGCCAACACGGGTTCAGGGGCAGCTCAAGGAAAGGCCTGGAAGAGCCCAGATCTGTGCTCAGGACTCAGAAGCCTTTGGATCAATGGTCCACAGCCTGGGACGCAGCATCAGGCCAGGCTGGTGAGCCCTGTGGACGAACCCCCAGAACCCTTGGCTGCCTACCTGGGAAAGGGATAGACGTTGGGTTTCCCCACTTTTATAGATGACCACACACCTGGATGTGGTATGAATACTTTTTGTAATGATTGATTGATTAAATGCAAGATGATTTCTCTAACTTTGTGCCAAATCAGCGTCTATCCTTGGCTTAGATTCTGGTGGAGAGAAGTGAGACTAGGTAGCCACCAAACAAATAAATATTCATGGATTTACTTCTTTTACTTTGGAGATAAGGAACTACAGTATTTTTTGTCCATGTAATCCAACGCTTAAAACCCCGGCATTCTTGGAGGCATACGTTGAGAACCACTGGAGTAAGCCACCTCAAAAACGTTGTCAACAATTCCTGGTATTCTAGAGCCCTTCCAATCTGCCGCCATGTGGTCCTGCCCTCCTCATCCTCCTCACTCCATGTGCCCTCGGCCCCAGCCAGCTCTACTCCTCCTCACCCAGGCAGTCACCAGGCTCTGTCCTTGCCCGGATACTTCTATCCTTTCTGCTCTCAATCCCAGCAGGAGCCCCTCCTGCCTGAAACTGTCCCTGACCACTCAGGCCCCAGGCAGACTCCCTTCCCCATGTCCCCTGACCTGCAGTCACAGCAGAGCCCGCCCTGGGCCGTGTGCTCTTACTCCCTTCTCAAAACCCACTGCCACTCCCTAGAGGGTAGCTGGACCTCGGATATCACCGGGGGATGCCTTCCGGAGAATGGAATCCGTCCCGGGTAGAATCCTGGCCCTCCCACTTGTGTCTCTAGTCCACAGCTCTCATCACAGAGATGAACTTAGGGAGTCCTTCTGAGGATTCAGTGGGACATGTAACTCAAGTGCTTTAAGAGAATTGTGTAAGGAAAACACTGTTTCTCCCACTTTATAGTCTCTGAACCCAGATTTCTTAACCAGCACTAGACAGAGAAGCAGCACTGGCGCCCAGCGTGCTGGGGTGTGTGTCTCTTTTTGTAACCCCGTCACCCAGCACAGTGCATGGCAGCCTAGGAGTTTGGTCTTGGGAGCAATTACTGTACAGATGCCTCTCAGCAGGGCCAAAACATGGAGAGTCAGAGTAGTGGGACCATAGGAGGTCAGGCAGCCGCCTCATTTTAGGAATCGGAACATGGAGACCCAGAAAGAGGAAAGCTCGTATGCAAGATTCTTTTGTTTACCAAATATTTGACCATCACCATGAACAGCGCCAGGAGCTGGGATGCAGCAGGGACAAGGCAAAGGCCCTACTCTCCTGCAGCCTTAGTTCTGGAAAAAGATAAAACGTTGCAAAATCCCAGAAGAAAATAGAACAAAGTAACAGGGTAGGGAGTTCGAACTGCTGGTAAGGAAATTCCTGTCTGAGGAGGTGGCATTTAAGATTGAGCCTTGAGGCCAGGCACTGTGGCTCATGCCTGGCCAGCACTTTGGGAGGCCAAGGTGGGTGGATTACGAGGTCATCAGTTCAAGACCAGCCTGGTCAACATACTGAAACCCCATCTCTACTACAACCACAAAAAGTTAGCTAGGACTGGTGGTGGGCGCCTGTAATCCAGCTACTCTGGAAGCTAAGGCAAGAGAATCACTTGAACCCCTGGGAGGCAGAGGTTACAGTGATTGGAGATTGCACCACTGCACTCTAGCCTGGGCAACAGGGACAGACTCCATCTCAAAAAAAAAAAAATGAATGAGCCTTGAAAAAGAGGGAGCTGGCCGGGCGCGGTGGCTCAAGCCTGTAATCCCAGCACTTTGGGAGGCCGAGGCGGGTGGATCACGAGGTCAAGAGATCGAGACCATCCTGGTCAACATGGTGAAACCCCGTCTCTACTAAAAATACAAAAAATTAGCTGGGCATGGTGGCGCGTGCCTGTAATCCCAGCTACTCAGGAGGCTGAGGCAGGAGAATTGCCTGAACCCAGGAGGCGGAGGTTGCGGTGAGCCGAGATCGCGCCATTGCACTCCAGCCTGGGTAACAAGAGCGAAACTCCGTCTCAAAAAAAAAAAAAGAAAAGAAAAAGAGGGAGCTAGGTTCTAAGGAAGAGGTAATGGCAAACACTGTGAAGATTCAATTTGCTGTGGAAATTACAAACATAGCAAAAGGAGTACTTCTCACTAAAAGAAATATTGTTTTGTAAGAATAAATGGCCCTAATAAATTAACTAAATGCAATGCAGAATCTCAGTTTTCCACAAGACTGACTCTAAAGTTCTGGCTGGAATGGTTAGACATCCTATTTATCAGGATGAGGGAGGCATAGGTTTGGCCAAGGCGGGGGTATCTCAGGAGTTCTGTGTTAGTGTGTTACACATGAGTTACTTAGGATACCCCAGTTGAATTGCTGATACTCTGTTGATTGAATATGGATCTAGAACTCAGCTCAGGTCCAGAACAATACGTTGAAGAGTCTTTAAAATGATAATTAAAGCCAGGGGCTTGACTGAGATCACTTACGGAGAGATGGTGGTCTCTTTGTTTTATTTATTTATTATTTTTTGTTTTGAGACAGGGTCTTGCCATGTTGCCCAGGCTGATCTCAGAGTCTCAAGCTCAAGTGATCCTCCTGCCTCAGCCTCCCTCCCAAGTAACTGAGATTGCAGGTGCAAGTCACCAATGCTCAGCGATGGAGATGTCTTTGAAACCAAGAGAAGAACGTGTTTTAAGGAGGATGTGGGCAGCTGAGGAACTCACTGTTGAGAGACTGAGTAGAGAGAAGGAAGGGATGTGGCCATTGGAGTTGGTACATGGAGAGCGATGGGGACCTTGCCAGGCAGTGTCAGTGCTGTGATGGGGCAGAGCCCTGCTGGTGTGGCAGGAGAGGAGGGGTGTTGAGGAGAGCCAGCCCCGCTGTTAGCCTTGTTGTAAGGAAAATTGGAAAAGTGAGGTGCTGAGAGTGTTCCAAGTAGGAAATAATGGAGCCTGGGCATGCATGCTCCAAGAAAGGGTTTGTGGAAAGTGACCACCTGATGGGGCAGAACAGAGGGCCCAATCCTAGATGCCTGAGGAATCTAGAAGGCACAGACGCAGGTGCCAGCATCCGACAGGGCAGTGCCAGCAGCTGATCTACGTTATGCTAATCTTTTTTAAATTTTTCCCTACACAAAGTTGTTTTGCCAATGTATTTTAAATACTTCATAATTTTTCCCTTACATACTTTTTTTTTTTTTTTTTTGAGACAGAGTTTTGCTCTTGTTACCCCAGACTGGAGTGCAATGGTGTGATCTCGGCTCACCGCAACCTCCACCTCCTGGGTTCAGGCAATTCTCCTGCCTCAGCCTCCTGAGTAGCTGGGATTACAGGCACGTGCCACCATGCCCAGCTAATTTTTTGTATTTTTAGTAGAGACGGGGTTTCACCATGTTGACCAGGATGGTCTCGATCTCTTGACCTCGTGATCCACCCGCCTCGGCCTCCCAAAGTGCTGGGATTACAGGCTTGAGCCACCGCACCCGGCTCCCTTACATACTTTTTTTCTGAGATGGAGTTTTGTTCTTGTTGCCCAGGCTGGAGCGCAATGGCGTGATCTTGGCTCACTGCAACCTCTGCCTCCCAGGTTCAGGCGATTGTCCCACCTCAGCCTCCCAAGTAGCTGGGCCTACAGGCTTCTGCAACCACACCTGGCTAATTTTTGGATTTTTAGTAGAGACAGGGTTTCATCATGTTGATCAGGCTGGTCTTGAACTCCTGACCTCAGGTGATCTGCTTGCCTTGGCCTCCCAAAGTGCTGGGATTACAGGCATGAGCCATTGTGCCCAGCCTCCCTCTACATATTTTATTCCATATATATTTATTTATATTTTCTTTAATTTCTTTGAATAACATGTTGCAGTTTTCAGAGTATAGGTTTTACATTTCTCTTGTTAAATTGATTCCTAAGTTTAATCTTTTTTTATTATGCTAAAAAAAACCCATCTAATTAGCCTGGTATGGTGGTATGTACCTGTAGTGCCAGCTATTTGTGGAGCTGACAGGGGAGGATTGCTTGAGCCTGGGAAGTCAAGGCTGCGAAGAGCCCTGTTTGTGCCACTGCACTCCAGCCTGGGTAACAGAGTAAGACCCTGTCTCAAACAAACAACAAAAAAAAGCAAACAAAAAAACCTAACGTGAAATCTGCCCTCATAACAGACTTTCAAGTGTGCGCTGCAGTACTGTTAATTATATGAACGTTGTTGTACGGTAGATCTCTAGAACTTTTTCCTCTTGCATGAAAAAGAAAACCACTACTCTTCTCTCTGTTTCTATGAGTTTTCCAACTTTGGCTTCCTCATATTAGTAGGAATCACACAGTATCTGTCCTTCTGTGGCTGATTGCTTTCACTTACTGAGATGCCCTCAAGGCTCATCCATATGGCTGGATTTCCTTCTTTTCTAAGACTGCATAAAGTTTCATTGTATGTATACACCACGATTTCCTCATCCATCAGTGACAGGAGGTGGTTTCTACCTCTTTGCTATTATGGATGGTGCTGCAATGAATGTGGGCAGGCAATATCAATTCAAGATTCTGTTTCCTAATTCTTTTGGATGAATACCCACAGGTTGGATTGCTGAGCCATATGGTAGTTCTATTTTTAATTTTTTGAAGATCCTTCATACTGTTTTCTGTAACAGTTAACATTTTACGTTCCTACCAACTGTGCACAAGGGTTTGCCACGTCCTTACCAGCATTTGT